TTTTATAGTTTGGTAATTTAAAATACTCAGTGTATTCATGACAAAATATTTCTGGCCTCCAATTTATTTTTGTCCTTAGCAATTAACAAATACGTAATAATTTAAAAATTTATAGTTTGATGGTACCAACTACCTACCGCATGGCCAATCCTTAACCAGAAAGAATTACTTTAAAGCATTAGATACGATGATATAAAGAATTAATTCATCACAAAAATTTAAGTTATTTGATGATGCTACATTAATTAATTTTTTATATATCTCTAACACGTCTTTTCACATGAGAGTTCATTGAGTTTGAATTATGGACAATGTACAGATTCACCTACTGTCACTGTCAGGCGGGTCCAGAAAGAGCCCGTGATAGGGTGTTGAAATAAAAGACACATAATTTATCGTGGTTCAGTCATAAGGTCTACGTCCACACTGATGATGTTTCTCTCCCTCTCAGTGATGATCACGGGGGAGGGGGGAGGTTCCCTTCAATATAAATAATAGGTGATACAATAGTTGGGCCAAATTATTTTGCCCATAATTAAAGATATAAGGTGATTTGTTGCCTTCTTTATGAGATATATTTGACATATGATTACAATCAATCAAATCTCGTAATTTACATCCACTAATTTCTCCAACACTCCCCCTCCAACTTGAGGCGAAGATGTTAATCAAGCTCAGCTTGGCAATGATGTTTTGAAAGGATTTCTTCGGAAGAGCCTTTGTGAACATGTCTGTTAATTGGCCTTCGCTTCGGATATATGATGTCTCAATAATCTTAGCTTGAGTCTTGTCCCGAACAAAATGGCAGTCTATTTTAATATGTTTAGTTCTCTTGTGAAATATTAGATTGGATGCGATATGAATAACTACTTGGTTATCGCAATACAACTTAATAAGAAACTCTGATTTTTTCAAAGTGAAATTGAATAGGAGATCCTTGGGCCAGATAAGTTCACTGGTGGCTGAGGCCATAGTACGATATTCGACTTATGCACTAGAACGAGCTACTACACTTTATTTTTTACTTTTTCAACAAACAATGTTGCCTCAAACAAAGGTGCAGAAAACTGAGGTAGATCGTCTATCATGTGGGCTACTAGCCCAATCAACATCAATATACCCAACAATATCAGTGTGGTTGTTCCTCTTCAACTATATGCTTTTTCCTGGACACGACTTTAAGTATCTAAGTATCTGGTCTCTAGACTCATGTGATATTGTGTTGTTTTTATGCAAAAATTGGTTAATGCAACTTACCGAGTATGAGATATCCTGTCTGGTTATGGTGAGATAGATTAATTTTCCAATAAGTCTTTGAAATTATCTCAGATCAGATAAAGGAGTGGAGTAATTTTCAAACTTACAATTATATTCAATAGGAGTATCGACCGGTTTGGATTCCAATTTACCAATTTCCTTCAAAAGATCCAGTACATATTTCCACTGTGAGATGAACAACCCTTTATTGGATTCAATAACTTCTATTCCTAGGAAATACTTTAGCCCCCCCAAGTCTTTAATGTCAAAGGTCATACTGAGATATTTATTCAACATATCTATCTTACTCTGCGAGATAACTATATCATCCACATGGATAAGGACAACAATGGTAACACCCTGTGTCGACCTGGTTTGTTAACATCAGAATGGTATTAAGTGCAGCTAATTAATCAAATAAATGCGAAATCTAAACTCATTAAAACGCGGATAAACTTTTTCCATTCTTCATTAAATTGTAATCATTACTTGCATGTCAAGTTAATTGCATATTATACTTGATTTATTCAACTTTCTTACTTACAATTACATACCTGCTTATTTACACGTTTCATGATCTATGTCTTACAAGAGAATGTCCTTAAGTTTAATGTCTCCTCTTAGCCATTGACTACTTCATTCTTCTCATTTATAGATGCCCAACTAAGGCATTACAATTCCTTTTAATATATATATTTACCAATTTCTTTCACAGTTAACTCCTTATAAATTTTAACATATGTTTTCTATATAATCCATCTGTACAGGTCATTATTCCCCATAGATTCCATACAACACCTAATAGACCTTCGGTATATATATATATAACCTAATTCACTTCAAGACTTTAAATAATAATTTCATAAAACATAGTTCATATGTCACAATATCAAATGGCTAAAATAACACAATTGCTCACAAGATATGTGCTTATACACATCATTCAGCAAGAGTAAACAAACTCAATATATACATGATCGCATAGACAATCTCTATGCTCACATCAATTATAAAATACATAACATGATAATTAATGATCATGTCTCATGTGAATATCGACATAGCAATGCATGTCATGCTAGAATCTCTACGTCAGCCTCTTGCCTTGAGATGCATCAATATCAATAATCTCAGTACCTGAAAAATGTTCCCCGAACGAGGTGAGATTTTGACAAATCTTAGTAAACTGGTGTTCTCGAAGGATCACTCAGCCCCAAGTTCATTTTAAGTATAACAATATAAAAATTATGACATGTCATATATATATATATATATATATATATATATATATATATATATATATATATATATATATATATACACATATATATCATGCAAGTGAGTAAAATATCCTACTGGCTAGAAAACAATGTAGGCATTACACACGTCTGCAACCTACTCAACACACCACACTCAGGTCTTCCCATCGTGTGCGGACATCTTCCACACTCAGGGACTATCATCTTGTGTGAAACACTCCCACTCAAGAATTCCCCTCGTGTGTGGACACCTACCACACTCAGTGACTTTCATCTTGTGCAAAGCACACCCCATCACATACATATATAAGAGTGCATTATTAACATATCCATGTAATAACATACCACATAAAAGAACCATCCTCCCTTGGAGTTTGGTGGAACAAACAGGGATTAACCTCGAGAACCAAAAGCTTACCTTTATTTGCAACCTACTATAATGAACTCTCAGTATCCAAAGGACCACAATAATAGGCCTTATAAAATCATAACCTATTTCAAGATATAAAGATAATTAATAACATATTCTAGTCTATCACATATAACGAGTTACTATATATATCTCTTCTGTTAATAATAGGTAAGGTTTTTTCCAAAGCCATAAGTATGGTTTAGTTAAGTTAGGACTTAAACCTATTTTATAAAGGTCCACACTAATCTCCTTAGGGTCCTAAATAATTAACAAGGTTTCATGAGTTCTTCAATTGAAGAACAATTCCAAGAAATAGGCTCCAATGCTCCATTGGCCGGTTCGACACTTAATCACATTTACTCTTTTTAAAATTGGTGTTGCTTCTCTTTATCAAAAATTCTAAGATTTTACTATGTTAAACTAGACATCTCAAACTTTCCAACAACATATTATATGTCTCAATTGGAGTTATATAACTCTGGTTATGTTTTTCGCAAAGTGACTGCAGTAAACTGAATTTTCAACAACCAAGTTGCGACTTTAAACTCAAACTGCGATCAATTCACTTATCCAATGGTTACGAAATTTTACTGGGTTGTAGCCCTATGTGTTATTTCACATAGGTCCAAACCTCACTGAAGTTTTAAAATAAGAAAATCAATCAAAATAACATTAATTGTTCATAGTTATGTAAACAATTAGAGTGATTTAAATACAATTAAAGTTGATTCAATTCTTTAAAGAAAATTGACATTAAAATTGTGCTTTTGTATTCAGATTGCAACCTGTGATTCGATGATTAAACTAAACTCAACTTTTTATGGAGAGACTAAATTAATATCATTTCATTAAGAGAATCAAATTAATATCGTTTTTATAATTGAAGGAATAGATTGATATCACCTTTCTTCATGTAACTAAATTAATATTACAAGATTTACTTAAAAAAAAGTAATGTTGCATGTATTTTAATGGAAATTAAAAAGAGTCATTACTCAAAATATCAAGTAATTATGTTTGCATACGTAATAGACTGATAAATAATTAGACATATGGGGGACGATAGCAATACCGTGTTGTAACCAATCCGATGCAATTATACTTAGATATCCACCATTTTTTTTAAAACATTAACTCATTTATTGTGAGCTTTTTCTTTTTTGGCATCACTTCACAAGTCACTGGTTGCATGGATTACATGTATTCCATGTAAGAATTTTTTCTTTACGTGGAAAATATTAATTAATTAGTTTTTTTTTTAAATTAATCGGGTTAATGGATATTTCAATTGTATTATTTTGATAAGTCTGTTGTGCTCAGGTTGAGTTGAGCTTTTGACATCTGTTGGTATTGGGCTTAGTTGGGAGCAGTGTAGACTTTAGTGTGACACTAGTTTTCCGTGATGAGTGAACTCAGCGGACACAAACTCTTTTTAGGGTATTTGGCTAGGTCCCCCTCTAGCCTATTTATATTAAGATTAAGTCCTATGAACTGTCATGTTCCCATCGCTGAAGGTTGCCATTTTAGAATAGGTCAGACTCTAGCCGTGAGATCAAATTCTTCACTCAGTAGATAAGATGGTTCAATCAGGTATACAAATTTCTTTCAGAACAAAATTGATACGTGGTATGTTGGAAAATTCTTATATTCCATGTTATGATTGGATTATTTTATTTTGACAGAATAATTAATTAAGAGAAAGCTTTTAATTAATTTTTTTTAGTATTAAATAGTCTAATTTAAATTTAAACATATACGTAAGAGTTAGAAAAAGATAAAGCATTACTATATATCTGCTGCTTTCTATCACAGTTAAAGACCGCATAAAATGCTTACCAAAAAAAAAAAAAAAAAAAAGACCGCATAAAATGTAAGAAGATACAGCATTCATAAGAAAATAAAAATACAAAGATAAGCAGAAATAACTTGCAAATTCCAACTTTATTCAATAAAAGATATTTTGATACAAAGCTCAGCTTCAGACATGAACAATAATTTTCTCTCACAAGTACAATATTTGTAAATGTTCACAAGTGAAGACTAACTCCCAACACATGAAGCTAGTGTTTTTTTCTTGAATAGGTGGAGTATATCCTGATGATGCTTTTTCAGAATCTCCTCCTCCCTATGCTTTTGAGCTTCAGGCGAATTGAAGCTTCCTTGAGTATTTATCTTGATGAAATCATGTGGATCTGAAACTGCTGCAAGATTTTACTGCATTTTCAGATCTTGATGCCAAAAAATGGCAATTGAAAATTTCTTGGGGCTTTTGGGTAGCCAAGTTTGAACAAATCTGGAACTGTTTGTGGAACCAGTTTAGATGATTCTTGGGACAATCTTGAACATACCAAATGAACCAAGATTGAACCCAATCTTGAACAATCTGGAACTATTTGTGGAACCTGTTTAGAATATTTTTGGAATAATCTTCACGAGTCCAAATGAACCAGGATTGAACATAAATATTGACAGCATTGGAAACTGTATCATGTTTTTTGATAATCAAAGTGATTACACGATGATTGATCAAGATTGACACCAATACTGAGAAGATTGGTGTTTTGTTCCCAGCCTGAAATACTTAGAAGATTTTGAGTTTTTGGGATTGATAGCAAGGATATGCGCTTTACAACTCTTTTGCTCAGGACAACTTTTACAAAACCAGAATCAATCAACAATAATGAATTCAGAGTCTCTTTTCTTGAGGAAAGGGCCAGCTTTGATTTGAAGTTTGGGGCAGGATACTTTCAGCAATTTCGTAAGGGGGCGTTTGGTACAGGAGAAATTTTTATTTGTCCGGAAATTTCAATTTTCAAAAATATGATTTTTACATTCAGTTTATCATAATATCCGAAAATTTAAAATTTAGAAAAATTCAGTTTCCCGGGAATCCGGCCAAATGCCGTGTACCAAACGCCCCCTAAGGAGATTTTCCTTCGTATTGCTTTCAGTTGAATGGATTGGAAGAAAATGATTTTTAGTTACATAGTAACTTTTTGAACTTTTGGTTTGAAGAGTCAAAGATTGACAAGGATTTTTGAAGAGAAGAGATTTTGTGACTTTTTTGAAGGTCAAGGATTTTTGAGGAAAGAAGGGGGGAAGGGGGAATTTGAAGTACACCCTTTTTTACATAAAAATAAAAAAATTAAGATCATCTTTTGCAACTTCAAAAGCAATTTGAAGTAAAAACTTTTGATTTATCAAATTTTGAAATCTGTGATACATAGCACTAGAAAATTTTCTTATGCTAGTGCTAAATTTTTGTTGAGCATTCACCCAAGATCCATGCAAGTTTTGTTTGGATCAACTTTTTGAGAGATTGATCTGGGAATGTTTGGTTCAACATCCACGTTTGAATCCTCCCATCTTCTCAAAGAAGTAGATGAACTTGATTCAGATGTTCTGTCCAATCTTGATGATTGCATCTGAATAATTACTTGTCCAGATTGAGTTTGAATTATCCCTCCAATTTTCCTTGATGTTCGTGGCTCAGGTGGTGAAGTACGATTTTGCAGCCATTCTTCTGGGAATGTTATTTGATCATGTTTGAGTCTTTTCCCGGTTATTATTGAAGAGTTCTGAGCATTGACTTCCATTATTACAGTTTCATTCACTGGAGATTGTTTTAAAGCCTTCGTACCAAAGATTTTGTTACTGACTTTATAACAAAATCTGTACGTAACACTAATGGGTAAAGTTCTGTCTACAAAATTTTCACTTGGAATTTTTATATCTAAGTCTAAACATCTTGCAGACCAAGGATCTCCGAGAGATATTTCATAATTGGGATAACAATTGAAATATGCTGGTCCATTTTGAAGATTAGATTCAAGAACTGCTATGACAGAGTCATGAAAATTTGTGTGTCTTTTGTCTCTTAAGCAGATTAAGACAGGGAAGTTCAACCTTAATCTAGATAGAGGTTTCACAGCTACTTGAATTAATCCAAAGTGCAAATAATAATAGTTTCTCCTATGTTGAGCAACTAAGTCGGAATTCATAATGGCAATGCTCTCATATGAATATTGGACTTCAACATGTTTTTCCACTGTGTTGATGCTGTAATCACGCTTCAATTCGAAGATTGAAGTTTTATAAACTTGGTTTGATTTGATCTTTGGAAGTGACCAATTTTGAAGCTTTACTTCTATGTTTGAAACAATTTCTTGAGAATTACTGACATCTTGATTTGAAGATGAGCTTTCATCATTTGTGTCTTGGTTTTGAATTATGACATTTTTACCTCCCATGGTTGGACCCCTTAAAAGATTTGCCATATACTGAAATTAGGAATATTTAATTCTTCAATCAATAAAATACATTCATGGATAAATGCTCAACAGTAAAGATAAAAGATAGCATAAAATATTAAAAGACAAATTACTTATAACAAAGTAATATTAATAATAGAAAAATAAGTTAAAAAGACTTACAATATTGAGGAATTAGAAACAAGAGAGACTTTGATGCAAAGCTTGAGAAAGGGGAAATGTTTGAAAAACACTCACAAGACTGGCTCTATCATTGGATGGCTCTTTGAATGTATTTATTGAAGTTGCGGACTTCATTCTGTTTTACGTCCGCTTTGGATTTTAGCTTGTGACTAAAATTTCATGATGAAATCTCAATTATTATGTCGCGCGGAATTGAAACAAATTACTTTAGGCAACGAAAATAACCTTATTTTTTTCACTGTAACACGTTTTGGTCGCGACTTTCTGAGTGTCGGCAGCATCTTTGAAAAGCTTTTAATGCATTATCCGTACCGTTGAGTCATTATTACCGTTAGACCCTACACATAGTTGATTCCTCTGATCTTTGAAATTTGCCGGTTGAACATGTGACTGTCGGTTCAGATGAATTATTGTATTTTTTTTTAAAATTATGCATAAAAGACGTTATTTAATATGTAAAAAATAAATTATGCTTCATAAATTTATAACTAGATTTGAAATTTGAATCACCATTTTTTTTTTTCTCTTCCAATCTTTTTTTTCAAACACTGACCCACTCTCTCTGATCTGGTGATCTTCTCTGTTGTGGTGGTAATTTCTCCAATCCTCTTTGTCTTCTCTCTCCTCTCTCTGGTTGTGCTGGTTTTTCTCTTCTTACTATTGATTCATCGCACCGCCACCTCTCATTTGTCATTCTCTCTTTGATAAAGAATCTCCTTTCATATACTATTGTAAGTGCATGAAAAAAAATAAGGATGCTGAGTTTAATAATATAACTTTTCATTAACTTCATTGAAATATGTGTTTTATACTTTGATTAGTTTGATACTTTGATTAACTTGTGTAATATTGATTTTTGAATGCAATTGATTGAATTATGTTAAGTATATTTTGAATCATTGATGTTGGTGGTTTGATTTTTTGAATTTTTCATATAGGATTATATTTATTTTTAATGTATAAAATTGGTTCAACGAAGTAATCCTATAACTCCTAACTTTAGTCGAGTCGATGACCGGACCTAGTTTGTAAACACTAATTGAAAGGAAAGGAAAAAATTTGACAAAAAAATAAAAAAACTAAAATATTTTGAAAATAAATATTTTGTCGTGATTGTATGAAAAATATTAATAAAAGGTACGAAAATGTACCTTTATATGTAAAATAGAAATATGAATATATATACTTCATTACACGTGGAGACACTTTTTGAAAAGTTAAAATAAACAACTAGTCAGAGGCTCAGAGTACAACTCAGAGACTCAGAGTAGTTTCCTTGATTAAGATTTAGACCTTATAACTTATTTTTACAAAGAGGAAGATTATAGTTATAATTTTTTTTTTATAACATCTTATTTTTACAAATAAACAACTCAGTGTTAAGATATAGTTGTAAGATGTTATAAAAAAAAGTTGTAAGTATAACCTACCTCATTTATAAATATTCATTTTTATAATTTAACTTTTTGATTTTGATTTCTTTTCAATAACTATTAATTAAATAATAAATTACAAGAATAAAGCGATATTTATTTTTTGATTTTTATTTTTAATTTCTACTAACCATAATAAAAATGTCGCTGCATTTATATATTATTTTCATTTTATGGTTTTGCAACATTTCTTATTTTTACTATTATTTATTTAAAATTTTAAAAATTAAAAGAGTAAAACGAATTGTTTTTTTTGGCAATTATTAATAAAATTTGGCTAATTAAAAATAAAATAAAAAATAAATCAAGCACTGGATAAATTCTCTTAAAAAAATAAGAATCAATATCTTTATTGTAAAAATTAAAATAAGTAAAAAATATAATAATTAATACAAAGAAATTAGCTATAAGAATTAAATTTAAATCAAGTAATCAATCAACCTTTAGAAATGACATAAATTATTATGGAAGAAACATAGATCAAAGTACAAAAATAAGAATCAATATCTTTATTGAAAAAATTAAAATAAGTAAAAAATATAATAATTAATATAAAGAAATTAGCTATAAAAATTAAATTTAAATCAAGTAATCAATTAACCTTTTGAAATGACATAAACGAGTATAGAAGGAACGTATGACTCGCACTTCCGGACTCGGTAGATCGAAATTCAAAACTATAGAATAAGATAGAAATGTGCATTGAAAAATGAAAAGCAAAACAATTAAATCTACAAAATAGTGATACTAAGTTTTATGGACCTGACAAATGTTTATATTCTAGAAGATCCAATAAAGAACAACATAAACATGAAGGAAATCTTTTAATAATGACGATCCTATCTAGACAGCTAAGCAACTCACATTCTAGAAGACCCAAATAGGGCTAACTGCTAAGAGGGAATTAAGGAAATATTTCTTAATCATACTAATCCTACTACGGCAGCAATGGATCAACAACTGGATCCCCAATACTGCTAAGAGGCCCAAAAATCCACTCCTACAAGGTAACCTATCTATAAATAAATGGTTAAACCAATAAGGTATACACACTCTAAACCCTCTCTCTTAGCTTGTCACTGTGCAGACACCCCATGCCTTGACTATGTCGTTATATTATAGTGCACAATGATTCGCTTATCTTTAGGGTATCTCTCCTATAGGTACCTGAGAGAGAGCAAACAGATACAATATTAAATTACCAATCTCTGATTGGACATTCACGATCTATCAGATCGTAATATTGGCGTCGTCTGTGGGGAACGATTAAATTCGATTCCTACCCAATAGTGGTGAAAGCGCAGCGGCCGCTGCCACATCCAAATCCTAATACGATGAGCACAAAGTACAAAAATAAACTTATCAACCGTTCAAGGCCGATTAGAGTTCGCAATTGCTTCAGCAAGCATGACGAAGCTGAGATCGAAATTGTGACCACTACCGTTGTCAGGATCATGACCGAGAACGTGGCCGGGATTGGGACTACGACAAAAATATAAATTTTGATGCTATTGGATCCTGAAAGCACGAAGTGCACAATAATGCGAAAAGTTTATCACTCCAGTCCCGTGTGGCTGTGGCTTCAATGAGAAGGTTTTGCTCTCAGAATCTGATCAGGCTCGCCAAAAAGTAAGCATCCTTGATCTTAACATATTATTCAAAATATTTGATATTATCCTAGTTTTCAATTTTATTAATATTGCACTATTGATTAAATTGAATGCTTTGGGAGTAATCTGTAGACAAATTGATTGGCATAATGTATTTAATACAGCCTTTGATTAAAACCTGATTAAATTGAATGCTTTGGGAGTGATCTGTGGACAAATCAAAGATTTGTCTTGATTGGCATAATGTTTTTAATACAACCTTTGATTAAGACCTGATTAAATTGGATGTTTTGGGAGTAAACTGTGGACAAATTAAAGATTTGTCTTGATTGACATATATATATTTAATACAGCCTTTAATATATATATATATAGATGTGACATGAAATCAAATCCGATAGCATGAAATACGGTCAACTAATGTTAATTATTGATTGATGCCAGTCAATTATTAATTGTTGATTGCAATTATTATCTGATTACACCATGATAATTATTGATTGTTGATTGAAGAAGAATTATTGCTAATTGCCTACTTCATACTTTATTATGTTGTATTTATTTTTGCAAAGAATAATCAAACAGGTGGTGTGGAGATCCTCTCTTAAAAAGGGAAGGAGATCCAGATCCACTCAAATAAAGAAGAAAATCCACCTAGATGAATGCAAGACTTGGGCGAAAGAAGCCAAGCTGAAAAAAGAGCCAAGGCACGAGAAGCCGGGCTTGAGAAAAAAGGCGAATACTGCCCCCCATTGCGGATTGAGAAGAGAAGCCAACTCCAATTAAAAGACTACGGTAAATGAAGCTGGGTTCGGATAAAATGACACTGCAAAAGAAGTGGGGCCCAAATTAAAAAGCCATGCAAGAAGAAGCATCAATGCAATTCAAAGAGACAAAATGCGTCTCCTTAAATATAAGGCTTCGACAAAAGAAGCCAAGTCAGAATGAAGACCGGCCCTCCGAGATAGAAAAGGTTTATTAAATGGAGCCAAAAACGGATGTGAAGAAATCCAATCCGAGATAAAAGTTGAAGAAAGAAAGAAAGCAATTCAACTATAGAGCCGAGTTCAAATACTCAAAATATAAATTGAGAAAGAACCCGACCAAGGGCCCTGGCATCTGCAAGGCCAACCAACTAGCATTCAAATAGATGTGATGGCTAGCAAATATAAAGTTGACCAACAGGAAATTATAGGCCAGGTGAACAGAAACTTGCACCAACGGTAAGATAGTCAACATTTAAATTTTTATCAGAATATTTGATACATTGATTTGTGATAATGATATGAGCACACTAACAATTAATGGGCGAAGCCCATTTGCAAGTGTATTATCTCCATAATTTCAGGACATCTGAAGGAATTTTGGGCAATCAGCATGCCTCATGTATAAAAGATCATAAAATGATGATCCAACAAATTCATTCCTCCTTGAGATATTCTAGCAAAGAAACAACAATAGGGCCATAACCCTCAACAATTAAGCAAACTGGCCATGTAGCCAAGTTCCAAAAGCTTTTGACACAAAATTCAAAGATCAAAAGCATTCTGATCACAACATCGTGATCCGAGATAAGGAATAAAGACTAGAACGGAGAGATGGGATCTTGGCAAAAAGATCACACCCCAATCTGAAATATAAATATGAAGACGGATTGCAATCCTTACGATAGGATGGCACTTAAATCTGAGATAAAGACCGGCCCTCTGGGATAGAAATGGTTAATTAAACAAAAATTCGAGATACATATCGGAGGAGATGGATATGGCGAGATCCATCCAATCCAAGTCGAAGACAGATATGTCAAGATCCAACCCGTGATACATATATATCCAGAATATAAATTGGAAGACAGATTGCAATCCAGGTTCAAATATAAGAATAATGCATGCATGCGACATCAAGCCTGGTTTAGGGAAAGAGGGAGGACGCTTCCGTAATCAAAACTGAACTAAGATTCAATAGGGCATATTGAAGCGACACTAATCAAGTCATCATGACGCCTTTGAAATTGAAACTTAGGCAAAAAACCAAGTTGAATATTATGAAACCACGGTATATGAATCTGGGTTAAAGTAAAACGAGGGAACAAGTAGATACCTTCGTAAATATGGATCCTTGTGTTTATGATGCATCTACATAAGATCTAAGATACAAGCGCAATTTGTCATGCTGACTCTTATCAAGTTGAAATGCTCCGTAATAAGGTCAAAAGACCCAAGTGAGACATGTGACAATACTGCCTTTACCTTGGATAGTATCGGGTTACGAAACTCAGGTCATGATTGAAGGCGACAATAATCACCTTCATCAATGCTGACTTAACAAAACGTTAAGTTAAAACAAATATGCGTCATAGAGAGTGACAAAAAACGGAATCCGTATAATATTTTTTGACCTCGGCCAGGTCAATATACCTGCACTTGTGAAATGCACAAGTTGCAAAAGCGAGAATATATTCGAGTTGTTAAGAATAACCCATCTTGGATGGGAGGCAACACGAATAAGGTTTAAGAAAACTTAGAAAATTGTCTAAGTTACAAAGCTAAATAACAGATATGCAAAATCTGCTTATCAAATCAAGAAAGTGCCAAATGCTTAGAAGTGTTGAAAAATGCTAAAGACTTCAAGCAACCCGACAAACCAATAAACCTAAAATACTTAGAAAAATATATCTAAGTTATCAGGGAGGCAAAAAACTCAAGATGCGAGTATAAATGCAAAATCATCCAAATTTCAAACATGTCGGGTGATATAGAGAGAGAAAAAAAAAACTTTAATATTTGCTTTATGTATTCTTAGAATACATAGTTATAATTTTGAAAAGAGAAAAAAATAACTTTAACATTTGCTCTATATATTCTTGAGAATACATAGTGCAATTTTTTTGAATATATATATATGAGGTAGGATCCTTTGACACCGGTGTCAAATTTAAAATTTGACACCTCATTTGAGAGCCATTAGATCAAAAAAGATCAACGGCTCTGATTTTTAAGCATGTGACACCATTGATCTTTTTTGATCTAACGGCTCTCAGATAAGGTGTCAAAGGATCCTGCCTCTATATATATATATATATATATATATATATATATATCTTGCCACTAACCATGTTGTAATATATAGTACAGAAAGAAACAATTCCTATTTATTTTTGTGTACATCAACACTTTTTTTTTTTTTTGGTGAACTGTGTACATCAACACTTATCACTGAACATAAATTACATTGTAAGAAACATAATTGTGCATATTTAAGAAATATGCTTCAGTAGAACCAATCTGTAATCTCTTGGTAATTAAGTACTAGCTAGAGGTGAAAACTCGAAGTGACGAAGTGTCTTGTTCAAGGATACACACCCCCAAAAGAACCTGTAAGTTAAGTAAATAAAACATTCAGAGGTAAATAATTAATAAATTAATTTGTTTTTAACTTTAAATATTATGCCGCCAAAACATGGAAAGTCTTTTTGCATGCAGAAATATTTTTCCAACGACTCCTCTTGTGAGAAAAATGTCCGATGTGTTTGATTTATATAATTTTTTTATTAACAACTCAAAATATCAATTTATTAATATATATTTTATTTTTTATTTTTTATTTTTAAAGTTTGTATGGAAAATAATACAAATTTTTAAAAAGAAAAAAATACCACATTTTTATAATATTAATAAAATAAAATAAAAACAATTTCTTTTTCACGAAACAAACATACTCTCAAAATGGTTCTTCAGTCTTTGTGATGGCACTTTGATTTCTTCTCACTAAACTTATGTTTGTCCAAAGTATGACTACTATAGGGTTTGATAAGTTCAATGGCCTTAATTATATAAGGGGAATTTATGCAAATGGGTAAACTTGCATAGTTGCATGTAATAAGCAGTTAATTTGGCAGGCTACAAGATAACAAGAATGTGCATAACACTCCCCTGGGCGCAAAACTATTTGGGACTAAACAGAATTAGTTTATAGGAAAGTAACCCCTTGCCTGTATGGCGTAGACGGTTATTAAGATGATATAGAGTAAAAAAATTAAGAGTATAATCGGTTACATGTTATGAAATACATTTATGGATATTTCACTTCCTCACTTCTATATCTCCTTAACTATTAATGAATAGTATAGCCGTTTGAATACGGGTTAAAATTCATGAGGTTACTATTTATTTGGTCACAGTTCATACGACAACTTTACTATTCACCAGCAGCTTTACTATTCACAATTACTGTGCAAATAATGAAGTTACTATTCACAAATTTCTTTCTATAAATATGAACTTTCTATATTGTTTTCTGTAATCAATTCTCAACACCCTCCTTTCTCTATGGAATTCTAGTACTTTCTCTTATATCTATATCCATTTTATAACATTATAATTGTTCTAATATGATAATGATAGATAAATGGCTTTAATAACTCTCACGTTACTCCAGATAAAAAAAGTGCAGCAATACTTATTTTCATCAGGATATGGGTCCGGATCCTGATGTGTTTTTTTATTTTTAAGCCAAAATACGGCCCCGTATCCTAGTGTTAATAATTTGCTGCAACTTTTCTCATTAGCAGTAAAACGAGAAACGACGAATCCTAGATAAATAACTATATAATATGAAACGTAGAAATCATTAGTCAGAATATATGTTATTTATTACAATTATCTGTAAAAGAAAACAATAGATTAGAAGAAAACACAAAATTATCCAGTGTTATATAAATCAATTGAAATCTTAATGAGAAGGTTCTACTTACCACAGTAGTAACTTGTTAGATCAACGGAAGGAGTTCATCTTGATGGCCATCATGACATAAAGCCGGTCTCTCGTGTCATAAAGAAAGTTGAAGTAAGCGTGTCTCCATTTCCTATTCAAGAAAATGGGAACACAAACTCCCAAAAAGCCAGTGACAAATCCAGATTCTATGCCAATATAGAACCATGATAAAAATTCAGATTCACCCTGATGTTCATCCATAGGATTTGTTTCTCTATATTTAGTGTCCGATGAGCAGTTTTTAGTAAGCGGAGATCCACAAAGATTAGGATTGCCAATATAGCTGAGTGCACTAAACCCCTGAAGTTGTGTTCCTGATGGTATTTTGCCTGTGAGATTGTTGAATGACAGGTTCAAGTAACTGAGAAAAGATAAATTGGACATTCCCTGAGGAATTTCACCCCAAAGTTGGTTTGTTGAAAAATCAAGGGACTCCAAGTTGTACATGTTGCCAATCTCATTTGGCATGCTTCCCATTAACTTATTGTGGGACAAGTTCAAGGAGTGTAATCCAATGAGGCTAAACATTTGTGGAGGTATTGTTCCATACAGATCATTATTTGAAAGATCAATTAAGGTCATAAAGTGGAGGTTTTTTGCATATTCTGATCCTTGACCTTTTGTAACCAACTCAAGACTGTCTCCAAAGTAGAAATATATACTTTGAAAATCAAAGTAAAAAGCAAGCTTACTCTGAGAAGCATTGTTGGAAATTAAGGCTGTGATATTATCCAGGCAGTTGGGTATATGCCCTGAGATTTTGTTATCTGCAAAATCCAAAATAATGAGGGAAGGCCTTTGACATATCTGTGGTGGAATAGTACCACTGAATTGATTGGACCTTAATTGGAGAGCCGTTGCACTTTGCGGTATCCAGTTTGGTATATTTCCTGAAAAGTTATTCTCACGAACATTAAAGATCAATAGTTGTTCTCATGCAGATGCAGTGAGGTGAGATTAGATAATAACCCCATCGATGGGGGTATCTTTCCTGTCAGGTTATTGTTTCCCAGGTTAATATGAACCAAAGATTTCCAGTTCTGCCAGCAATTTGTAAGCCCTCCAGAGAGACTATTACCAGATAAGTCCAAGTACACCAAATTGAAGTCATAATTTGTAAGCCCTCCAGAGAGACTATTATCTCTCAATAGTTGTAAGCCCTCCTTAAGATTGAAGTGGGTTGTGAGGGGTTAAAAGAGTTAACTGTAGATGAGTTAGGATCACAATTTACCTCATTGTCCCTGGGAATTGTAGTATTTGGGACATCCGAAGAAGCTGATTCAGTCATAGGTGTTAAGATTGGTGATGCTGCTTGTGTTTCATGTTCTGGTTCTGTTTCTTGGAGCCTTGGGCCGAGAGAAGAAGCTGCAGAAGTTACTGGAATATGAATTGAGACTTCTCCTCCATAGACAATCTCCCCCTGAGGAGAAGAGGGAAAATCTCCCCCTGAGTAGTAAGCTTCGGATTCTCTAAAGGAGACATCTAAAGTGACATGAATTTTTCGTAAACAAGGATCATAGCATCTATAGCCTTTTTGTTCATTGGAATAGCCAACAAAAATACATTTCTTTGCACATGGATCTAATTTATTTCGAAGAACTTTAGGGACATGAACATAAGCAACACATCCAAACACACGGGGTTCAAGATTTGAGCAGTGGGGAATAGAGAAAAAAGATTCAAGTTTTTGTTGTGGAGTAAGAAAATTAAGTGAACGGGAAGGGTTGCGGTTAATTAAATAGGCAGCAGAAACTACAGCTTCACCCCAATAATATCAAGGAACATTCATGCCAAATAGGGATGCACAGACAACCTCAAGAAGGTGTCTATTTTTTCGTTCAGCAATGCCATTTTGTTGGGGTGTGTATGGGCATGAGGTTTGATGTTTAATCCCATTAATGGTGAGGTATTTTGTGAAACTAGAGTTGATGTATTTGGTACCATTATCAGATTGGAGGATACGATCAGAAGAGTTAAATTGTGTACGAACCATGGTGCAAAAACTTTTGAAGGCAGAAAAGGCACCACTTTTATGAGACAAAAGGGTGACCCATGTTATACGAGTACATTCGTCGATGAAGGTAATATAATAAAGTTTGTGTGATAAAGAGGGAATTTTCGCAGGTCCCCAAATATCAGAATGTACAACTTGAAATGGAATTGAACTTTTATTCATACTTGGAGAATAAGAACTTTTGTGACTTTTTGCTAACTCACAAGTAGTACATTGAAAATGAGATACTGGAACAGAAGTAAAAAACTTGGGAAATAATTTTTTAAGATAACTGAAAGATAAATGTCATAATCTACGATGCCAGAGCCAAACTTGAGAGGAAAGGGAGGAGTCACGAACAGAGGTGCAAGTCCGAGAAGAAGGAATGTTGCATTTGAGGTCCAAGTAGTAGAGATCACCAATCTTAACTCCATAACCAAGTGTCTTTTGTTGGTGGATGTCCTGAAAGATGCAGTAAGAGGGGAAAAAAATAACACAGCATATGAGGTCAGATGTTAGACGGCTTATAGAAAGGAGATTGAATTCCAGGGAGGGAATACACAAAACAGAGGAAAAATGTAATGCAGGGGATAGGGAAAGCTGGCCTTGTCCAGAGATGGAGGAGATACCCCCATTAGCAGTAGAAATAAATGGTTTAGAACATGGTTGGAAATTAGACAACAAAGATAGGTCCTGAACCATATGGTCAGAAGCACCCGTATCAATTATCCAGATATTATTCATTGAATGTGCAGAGAAGACAATAGGCTTACCCAAGATGCTGCTCTGGACGACATTGGCCTAAGGAAGGGACTGTTCAGCATCAGCAACAGTAAGGCTTGCTCTTGGAGGAATTTTCTTGCGGGGACGTTTGGTGAAGTCCCACCAATCCGGATACCCAATCAACTCGTAACACCGTTGCTTGGAATGACCCACCTCTCCATAATGAGAGCACAGAAATGACGAAGGCCTGGTGGGAGGAGCACTGTCGCGGCGAGGCCTAGGAGGGTGTGGAGAACTGATGCGTGGGGAATGTGTGAGGAGGGCAGAGGCATTAGAGGGGGTCTTCGTGTGACTCATGGTAAGACGTTGTTGAGAATCACGCCTGACATACGCATAAGAGCCCTACAGGTCCAATTTTGGATCTTTACGAAGAATTTCACTACGGACCTGGTCAAATTCAGAATCAAGACCAGCAAGGAAGATGTGAACCCTAAATCGAGATAGGGTCGATTGTTGATGAACAAGATTAGTAACTGAATCAGATGGAGAGGTACGGTGATCAATTTCTTGGAAGATGGCCAAGAGTTCGTTGTAGTAGACAGCAAGGGGACGTCCGAGTTGCTTCGTGGTGAACGACCGCTGGTTAAGGTCGAAGAGGCATGACTCATCAGAGCCATCGTATAACGTCTTCGAAGTGGCCTCCCAAATTTCACATGTCGTTTACAGTCGAATGAACCTGTGCATCAGGCTTGGGGTCATGGAGTCGATTAACCAACTCTTCACGTGTTTGTTGTTGGTGATCCATGAATCAAGAGAAGGATCACCAAGGTTTGGTTTGGGTGTAGCACCGGTAAGGAAACCGGATTTGTTGCGAGCTCCGATTCTCATATCCATGAGTTGTGACCATAGGGGGTAGTTTGTTTCGTCAAGGGTAACAATGAGAGGGAAGGAAGAGTGATCTTGGTGGATGACGATGTTGGGTGGTTGTGGAGTGGCGGTGTGCAGAGGAGGAACGATTTCGGAATTTTGGTTGTCAAGATTTTCGTTCTCCATGGCGGCGGAGAAGAGTAGGGTTTAGAATTGGGGAAAAATTAGAAATAGGAAGGATACGTGTGTGGAGTGGGTGCTGAGATGGGTATGGGTTGGATTTGGCAAAGGAAAAAAAATGAATGGGTAAGGAAAAAAAATATAATAGTGGGTACGGGTACGGAGTGGGAGTGGGTGGGTACGGGTAGGATGAGAAAAATAATTCTTTGCTTAGGATCAGAACAAAGCTTGTGATACCATGTCAATTTTCTGATAATCTGTATTTCATATATTGAAACCTCAAACTTGAGGAGTATATATACAGGGAAACAAATATCTAAACAACTACTTAGAATATTAACAAACTATCAACAAACTAACAACTTCCTAGTTTTCCTATTTCTATCAAAGGATATCGAATCCCAACAAACATTTAAAAATGAAATTACAAACTTCTCTTCAACAGTTTGAAATAAGGGGATTGTTATATTCACTACCTATTTAATCTTTCTATCTATATTATCTTTTTATCACTGTTAGATTGTATTTAAATCAATGATTGAAAGAGAGAGAAATAAAATGTATAATTAGTTGAGAAAAATAAAGAAGAGAGAAAGAAAAAAAATTATTTGAGACCGTTGATTTAAATTTAATCTAATGATTATAAAAAGATAGTAAGGGTAAGAAGATTAAATAGATAAACAATATAACTATACCCATACCTAACAATTTAAAGATTTATAGTTTAATGGTACCAATTACCTACTGCATGACCCTATGTTTAACTAGTAAGAACTTTTTTTTTGGTACATTGCCAGGAGGTATCCCCATTCAACATTCTCCGGGCACCATGCCCTCGGGGTACGGTCCGTTTGGGCTAGCCCCTCATTGTAACAGTGGGTGCACTAAGCTTCGCAACCGGAAAAAAGACGAGACTAATTTCCTAACCGAAGATTTTTGACCTATCCTCTGGCCCCCAAAATTTTTTCAAGAAACTGCTTGAGACAAGGTTTGATCCCTACACCAAGCAATCCTTTGGGAGCTCAGCTCCAACTGAGCTACCCTTGAGGGTTGTAAGAACTTTCTTTAGTTGTCTAATCTAATGGGAATTTGGACTCAGATCTGTTGCTCTTATAGGTTTTTGTTAGGAATTTTCAATCGGCTTCTCATATATTGCTTTGGGTTTCACTCACCTCTCACCTTTTTCTTTTTTCTTTCTTTCAACTCTTATTTGAATATTGAATGGCTTTTTATGATTATGCTTCCTTTTCTCCTCATTTTCTCATCACTTTAAGGTGGTGTCCTCCGTGTTAGCTTATAAAATTCTATATTAGGCCTAATTTATAAAAGTCAACATTGTATTGAGTATTTTTCTAGCCTTAATCTTTAAAACCCTGTGATTTAAGCGGGTTGCATTGACATTTATTTAAGGGTCAAAATTGTTTCTCTATCAAAATGTGCGTCATTTAAAATAAGACTTTAACGTTTCTATAATGGATTTGGATAAGTTATTTATATTCACTCTAAAAAATATGTCATTTTGGATTGAAAAATTAAAAATTATAATAAAAAAGACTATTATAACACTGAAATAAATTATAATTACACGAATAACTTGATTTTCGTCTCAAAACGATGTCATTTTGGACTCAATGCAAATAAGTTCTCTACATTGACGGCAGAAAAAATGAACCCTTAAAATAAAATTAAAAAATATAAAATAAATTATAAATACATAATAATATAAATATATTCTGTATATAAGTCTATGAATTATATATATTTTAACAATTCAATAATAATTATTTTTTTTATTTTAGTTGTTATTTTAAATTATTTTAAGCAAAATATATTTTTTCTATTTATATTTTTTTCATTCTTATATGATATTTAAGTAAAATTAATTATAGATTTAAAGTATTTATAAATTCAATACTTAAAAATAAACTTATAACAAAATTTAAATAATTTAAAAATGATAAACATATATTAAAATATGGATTTGTAATATCTGAGTTATTCAAATTTGAATTCATTGGTTTGAAATGTTGCAAAAAATTAATATTTTCTGATAAATAATAATTAATATTGCGAGTAAGGATAAGTCCTATAGGAGAGGATCCTCTTGTATATAATTTGAATGTAACAATGTCACGAATCTCAATCATTAAATAACATATTAATGATCACAATTTTAATGACAACATTTATAAAATAAAATAAAAATTCAAATTAATTGCTGACATTGATATAATAATGCTAACTTTGATTTCTAATTAAGAATCTAATTGGTGAAATGTAGGCAGAAATCATATCCAGATCCAAATGGTGGGGGGAATTTATTTATTTTTTAAAATTTAATTTCAATGACCAAATATTTGTTTTGTACAATCTTATATTGTTTTCATAAATTCAAACAATACAGGACCAGGATGAGAGATAATAAACTCTAACTTTTGTCTTTAACTTGCTATTTTTCATAACTTTATTAAGTTTTAAACAGATTTATATAATTTTATAATTTTAATAGTATTTTATATTTTTAAACTTTTTAATAATTTAACTAAGGGAAAAAAGTTTCCGATGTTACTTTAGATAACTTTATCTAATGTTCATCGAAACGACGAAAAATTAAAAAATTAGAGTGATAAAGACTTTTATAACCCTGAAATAAATTAAAATTATAAAAATACCATGATTTTCGTCCCAAAACGACGTCGTTTTGATGAACATTAGATAAAGTTATCTAAAGTAACATCAGAAAAAACAAACCCTTTAACTAAATGTTTAATTAGATATTTACTAATTATAAAATTATAACTAACGTCATAAAATCTATAATAACACTACAAAATATCTTATATAACTATAAATATGTATTTATAGTTTTAAAATTTTAAAAAGTATAAAAATTCAGTAAGAAAATCATGAAAAACAATTTAAAATTTCAATATTACTTGATATGTTGTAGCAAAAAAGTTGAGAGTGCTATACAAAGTCTTGTTTGATTCATTTTTATTATAAAAAATCAAACCATTAAATTCACCTCTAATAAAAGTATTTTGAATATAAAACCAACTGTAGAGAATATATCAAACCATTAAAGCAAACCATTAAATTCACCTCTCTAATAAAAACATCAAACCATTAAATTCACCTCTACTGATGACTTCAATATTTTTAATATAAAACCAACTGTTCAAGAAGTGATAACCTGTTTTTAACGGCTCTAGGTTTTAGTGTAATTTTTTCTATCCTATTTTACATGGTTGTCAAAAAATAAAATAAATTAGAACAAAGTTTTTTTTGGATCCTAACAATAAATACGATCCTCATCTTAGTTCTTAAGTTCTTTTTTGGGTCCTAATTAAGAATCTAATTGGTGAAATGTAGGCAGAAATCATATCAAGATCCAAATGGTGGGGGGAATTTATTTATTTTTTTAAATTTAATTTCAATGACCAAATATTTGTTTTGTACAATCTTATATTATTTTCATAAATTCAAACAATACAGGACCAGGATGAGAGATAATAAACTCTAACTTTTGTCTTTAACTTGCTATTTTTCATAACTTTATTAAATTTCAAACAGGTTTATATAATTTTATTATTTTAATAATTTTTATTTTTTTAAACTTTTTAATAATTTAACTAAATGTTTAATTAGATATTTAATAATTATAAAATTATAACTAACGTCTTAAAATCTATAATAACACTACAAAATATCTTATATAACTATAAATATGTATTTATAGTTTTAAAATTTTAAAAAGTATAAAAATTCAGTAAAAAAATCATGAAAAACAATTTAAAATTTCATATTACTTGATATGTTGTAGCAAAAAAGTTGAGAGTGCTATACAAAGTCTTGTTTAATTCATTTTTATTATAAAAAATCAAACCATTAAATTCACCTCTAATGAAAGTATTTTGAATATAAGACCAACTGTTCAAGAGAATATATCAAAACCATTAAATTTACCTCTAATGATTTTTATTTTAGTATAACCTGGAGGGTATCTCCGTTCACCAATTCAATAATTTTCTATGTTTGTTAGTCTAGTTGACGTAATTTTTTCAGGTTATTCCAGCTAGCCCATTTGATTCGATTAGATTCATTTTCATATCCCAATCCATTTAATACAGGAAGCATGAAAGTAATCAGTAGAGGTGAATTTAAGATATTTTCAAAGATTTGTTTGTGTTAGATGTTCAAACTCTCTCTCGAGCAAATTTTTGAAAAATCTTTGGGAGTCAGAGGATGTGTCTCTCTCTTCGAAAGAGGGATTAGTCTCACCCTTCCTCCAGTAGCAAAGCTCAATGTACCCGTTGTTTCAATGAGGGACTAGCCTACGGGCCGTATATTTTTAATATAAAACCAACTGTTCAAGAAGTGATAACCTGTTTTTAACGGCTCTAGGTTTTAGTGTAATTTTTTCTATCCTATTTTATATGGTAGTCAAAAAATAAAATAAATTAGAACAAAGTATTTTTTGGATCCCTAATAAAAGATATGATCCTCACTTTAATTTAAAAAAAAAAAATTAGTCATCTGATCCCTATATAAAATTCAAAGTGGATCTATTTTAGGCTTTTTGAAGAACTAACATGGGTTATTTTTGAATTTATGAGGAATCACGATTTCAACTAGATATGTCCACTTTGAATTTCTTTAGAACTTTGATTCTTTTTTTATATAAAGGATTAAATTGGGATCATATTTTTTATTAAGGACCCAAAACGAATTTTACTCAATAAATTATAATTTCTATTCTTTTGTTTCCGTCAAATTCTCTCTTCTGATTACGAGAGCATAAAAATTATAATTTCTTTGGATCGATCCATGACCCGAACTGAGGAACAGGGCCACGTGAGATTTCCCCTTGTTTTCTCAAATTTCCTTATTTTTGAATTGCTTTCTGCTGTCTGGATTATGTTGTTAGGATTTTGTTAAAGGGACGATGGAGTAGTACATGTAGGGGTATCGTGAATGGATTAGCATATGCTATTTAGGTAAGTAGCCACAACCAAAGAAGATCTGCTCCCAAATTGGATTGTTCAACATTACTATGACTTGCCACTAACCAAGTAGCTACTGGCTTAATATTTTCTGTAATATAGAATCTAGCTAGAAAGAAACAATTTCTATTTATTGGTGTGGACATAAGTACTTATCACTGAAAGTAAATAATATTGCAAGAAACATAATTGTGCAAAGTTACGAAATACAAACTGGAACCTTACAAGTAATTAATAACATATGCTTCAGTACAACCACTTTGTAATCTCTTGGTGAGTAGAGCTGAAAAGTCCAAGTGTCGTGTTCCAGGATACATACAACCAAAACAACCTGTAAATTAAGTAAGCAACACTTTCAAGAGTAAATAATTAGTAAATTTGTTTGTGTTTAACTTTGAATATTATGCCGCCAATAACATGTAAAGTACATGTAAATATTTTTCCAAAAGACGTCTGATGTGTTTGATTTACGAAAATATTATTTATTAATAATTATAAAATAAAAATATCACCTTACTTATACTTTAATTTTAGTTTACAATTTGTACACATAATAATACAGTTTTTTTAAAAAGGAAAATAAAAGTAATATAAATTTTTTATAATTATTAATAAAATTAAAATTAAAACAAAAATAATTTTCACGAAACAATCATACTCTTAATGATTGTTTAGTTTTTGCGATGGCATTTTGATTTCTTCTCACTAAACTCATTTACGCAAGTTTGTCCAAAATATTAATATTGTATTACGGTTCAATGGCCTTGATTATGTGGGGGAAGAGGAAATGTGCAATGTAAATGCAATGGATAAGCTTGCATCTAACATGCTTTTTGGGAGATTACAACAATGTGCATAACATTCCCTACACGCAAACTATTAGGATGGAATAGAACTAATTTAATTTATAGGAAAGTTCCCATTTCCCTGTATGGCGTAGACTGTTAATTAGATGATTATAGAAAGAAAGAAAAAAAATAAGAATATGATATGTTATAATTGTTCTGGTACGATAATGATAGATAAATGACAATATGCAAATATCCTTAGTCCGAATAGAATGTGTTATTTATAACACTTGTCTATAGAAGAAAACAACATAGTATATGGAAGCAGAAAATTATGTAATATCATATAAATCAATTGAAATCTCAATGAAAAGGTTCAACTTACCATAGTAGCAACTTGTTAAATCAACGGAAAGAGTTTATCTTGACGGCCACCATGACATAAAGTCGGTCTTTCATGTCATGAAGAAAGTTGAAGTAAATGTGTCTCCATTTCCTAATCAAGAAAATGGGACCACAAACTCCCAAAAAGCCCGTGACAAATCCAGATTCTATGCCAATATAAAACCATGATAAAAATTCAGATTCACCCTGATGTTCATCTATAGGCTTTGTTTCTCTATGTTTATTGTTAGATGAACAGTTTTTAGTAAGAGGAGATCCACAAAGATTAGGATTGCCAATATAGCTGAGTGCATTAAACCCCTAAAGCTGTGTCCTTGATGGTATTTTGCCTATGAGATTGTTGAATGACATGTTCAAATAACTGAGAAAAGACAAATTTGACATCTCCTGAGGAATTTCACCCCATAGTTGGTTTGTTGAAAAATCAAGGGACTCCCAAGTTATACATGTTGCCAATCTCATTTGGTATGCCTCCCATTAACTTATTGTGGGACAAGTTCAAGGAGTGCAATCCAATGAGGCTAAACATTTGTGGAGGTATTGTTCCAGACAGATCATTATTTGAAAGATCAATTAAGGTCATAAAGTGCAGATTTGCTCCATATTGTGATAAAAGACCTTTTGTAACCAGCTCGAGACTGTCTCCCACGTAGAAATAGGCACCACCATAACGAGAGTAAAAAGTAAGCTTACTATCAGAAGCATTGCTGTAAATTAAGGCAGTGATATTATCCAGGCAGTTGGGTATGTGCCCTGAGATTCTGTTATCTGCAAAATCCAAAATAATGAGGGAAGACATTTGGCATATATGTGGTGGAATATTACCACTGAATTGATTGGACCTCAATTGGAGAGCCACTGCACTCTCCGGTATCCAGTTTGATATATTTCCTGAAAAGTTGTTTTGACGAACATTAAAGATCAATAGAGAACGACAATTTTGCAGCGAGAGAGGTATCTCTCCGTATAAGTTGTTATGATGCAGATGCAGTGTGGTGAGATTAGATAACAACCCCATTGATGGGGGTATCTTTCCTGTCAGATTATTGTTTCCCAAGTTAATATGAAGCAGAGATTCCGAGTTCTGCCAGCAATTAGTGAGCTCTCCAGAGAGACGATTATGAGATAAGTCCAAGTACACCAAATTGCTTTTCCCATTCAGCAGCATCTTACGATCACACAGGAGAGGAGAAATGGATCCTGATAACGAGTTGTTTGATATATCCAAAAAGGCCACATTTGATGATAATCGAGGCAGGCCACCTTTCAAGTGATTTGATGACATATCTATGTATGTAGAGTTCAACAACACGTTTGACAGATCCCCAACTATCGAATTCCCATCTAACTCGAGGAAGGTCATTCTTGATACAAAATTCCAAAACTCGCCTTTAGCCTCAAATGATGAGTCTACGATAGCTAGAAAATCAATAGATCTTTGGGTATATAACCACGCAGGGAGTTTAGAACCCGCAAATCCAAAATTCAATTGTCCAAGTTGAAAAGGTGGAATCCAGTGAGAGTCAAAATCAAAGATTAACGGTGGTGATGAATAGATAGACAAATCCTTTAACTTTGATAGTTTGGCAAAATTTCTCTCTGACACGACTCCTGTTAATTGATTTGAGTCAACAGCCAAGATAACTAAGGATGATAGATTTCCCAAATTTATGGGAATTGATCCAGAAAAATTGTTTGCAGCAAGATCAAGAATTTGCAGATTAGATGATTTGTGGTAAGATTGAATCAAGATTTGAAATTCTAATTTATCAATCAAATCTCCAAGGTTGTTACATGAAAAAAAGGAAACAAAGTTTAAATCAAATACAAACTCTTGGATGGGCTCAATGCCGGTGGTTATAAATAAGGAGATTGGGAGCACAACAAAGCAACCAATTCACAACTCGGAGCAAGCAGTAGAGGACTGAAGATCAAGAATTCTTCTCCATTCTTTCTAGTAATTATAGTTTTTATGCTTTCTTTTGAATATTTGTTTATGTCGGATATGACTATGTCTGGATAAGTTCTTTTATTGTAGTTAGGGTCACAACCCTATGTGAACCCTTGTTATGACGGATTGATTTAAATTATTTTACTCGTTTATATAAATTTCTTTATCTTATCTTGTGCGTATTTGATATTTTCTTATTAAACCTGATCAATTTGATAGTTGAAAATAGTTTGAGGGTTAGAACCTTAAATAGGGATATTGGGGTTTCTGATCTCGAAAGGAGATAAGATAACTATTGGTATGCATACTAGGGATAGATGTCTATTTAATTGCGGATGTTGGAATTATTGTGTTCATTGCTTAATTCTCATGAGGGGTTACTAAGGGATTAGGATTCTAAGTGAGGTTAAAGGGTTAAGTTACCAAGGGATTGGGATTTAATTATTAATATATTGAGATCATAATTATCTGAGAAATTATATAAATAAGTATTTTGTATCAATCCAAAGTAATAAGTGGGGATCATAGGGAGAGTGTTCCCTAACTGCAATTCTTTCTCATATTTTCAAAACCAACTCCATTATTATTCTTCTTTTCATTCTTGAAAATACAAAAACTCAAAAATAAGTCTTTACTTTTATGGTTACTAAGATTCAATTTAATTTTCCCAACAAAAGATCAAGTTTTTCAACTTAAAGTGACTGATTATTTTAGTACTTGGTTTTCAATCCCTGAGGAGACGATCTTTCTTACTACTTTACTACTTATGCGAAACGGTATACTTGCCGGATAACATCATTGCATATGATGACTGCACCTGGATTGTTGACTCTGGTGCCTCCTTCCACGTTACTCCACACAAAGGTTTTTTCTCCTCTTACCGAGGTGGTGATTTTGGAGTCGTGAAGATAGGAAATCAAGTGACCAGCAAGATTGTTGGTGTCGGTGATGTAACTCTGACCACAGATGTCGGATGTCGACTTGTATTGAAAGATGTAAAGCATGTTCCTGACATGCGTTTGAACCTAATCTCGGTAGGCAAACTTGATGATGCCGGGTTAGTGAACTACTTCGGTAGTGTTAGATGGAAGCTGATCAAGGGAAACTTGGTCGTGGCCCGAGGTAAGAAGGAAGACTCCTTGTACGTGATGCAAGGAAAGATCAATGGCGGAGAAGCCAATTCTGTTCGAGATGAACCTAGCTTGGAGCTATGGCACAAGCGCCTCGGCCACATAAGCGAGAAAGGGCTCCAGATCCTGGACAAAAAGGGATTACTGACCGGGTTGAAAGGCCAAGCGTTGGAGAGTTGCACACATTGTCTAGCTGGAAAGCAGCACCGAGTTTCTTTTGTGAGACCGGATCAACCAAGAAGACGAAGGAATATTCTTGACTTCGTCCATACTGATGTTTGCTCCATGTCAGAGAAATCTCTTGGAGGAGCTCAATACTTTGTTTCATTTATTGATGACCATTCCCGCAAAGTGTGGGTATATTTGTTGAAGTCTAAAGACCAGATACTCCAACCCTTTAAAGAATTCCATGCGATGGTTGAAAGGGAGACTGGCAAGAAATTGAAGGTGGTCCGATCTGATAATGGTGGTGAGTATTGCGGCCCTTTTGATGCATGTTGTAGAGCGGCCGGGATCCGACTTGAGAAGACGCCCCTCAAGACTCCACAGTTGAATGGACTTGCTGAGAGGATGAATATAACTATTGAAGAGAAGGTCCGAAGTATGTTGTCCAATGCCGGATTACCGAAATCATTCTGAGGAGAAGCCGTCAAAACAGCTGTTGACTTGATCAACCTCTCACCATCACGGCCACTTGAAGGAGAAATTCCAGAAGAAGTCTGAACAGGTCGAAAAGCAGCCTATAATCAATTGAAGGTGTTTGGATACCGAGCTTTCGTGCATATCCCTAAAGATGAAAAGGCAAAACTCGATGCGAAGACAAAAGAATGCATCTATCTTGGTTCGCCGAGATGTGAGCTCGGGTTCCGACTTTGGGATCCAATCAATAAGAAGATCGTGAGAAGCCGAGATGTGATCTTTCATGAGCATGAGAGCATTCATGACATCTCGAAGCCCAAAGTCCGAGTTACTGTCAGACACGAAGAACCCATCCCTCCTGTCCGAGCTGAAGCAGGGGGAGAAAATCAAGAAAATGAAGAAAATGATGATCAGCAACAAGCTGAAGATGACCAAGACATTAAGGTTCGAGTTGATGATGAGATCAGGGATGAGAATGATGAACCGGGTCCTCAAGCTGAAGAACAGCCGAGATATCCAACTCGAGAAAGAAGACCCTCTACGAGATACCCATCTGATGAATACACCGTTGTTGCTGAAGACGGTGAGCCTCAGAGTTATGATGAGGTTGTGACGAGCTCAGAGAAAAAAGAATGGGAAAAGGCAATGCAAGACGAGATGAAGTCTCTGCACGAGAATCAGAATTATGAGCTGACTGAGTTGCCAAAAGGAAGACGAGCTCTGAAGAATAAATGGGTCTACAAGATTAAGAATGAAGAGAACGGGCAAAAGCCGAGATACAAAGCCCGAATTGTAGTGAAAGGCTGCAATCAGAAGAAAGAAGTAGACTTTGAGGATATTTTTTCTCCTGTGGTGAAAATGACCTCGGTCCGAACCGTGTTAGCCATGACGGCTTCGATGGACCTCGAGGTAGAACAAATGGTTGTGAAGACGGTATTACTTCACGGTGATTTAGAAGAAGAAATATATATGGAGCAACCTGAAGGATTCCAAGCTCCAGACCAAGAAGACTTGGTATGTCAGTTGAAGAAGAGTCTCTATGGCTTGAAGCAAGCACCTCGGCAGTGGTACAAGAAGTTTGAATCATTCATGACTGATCATAAGTTTGAGAAGACAGAAGCGGACCACTGCGTATTTGTGAAGAGGTATGAGGTCGGAGATTTTCTGATATTGTTGTTGTATGTTGACGACATGCTTATTTAGGGAAAGACAAATCGAGGATAGCCGCCCTGAAAAAGGCGTTGAGCTCGTCCTTCACAATGAAGGACCTCGGCCTTGCAAAGCAGATACTCAGAATCAAGATTATCCGAGATAGACAAAAGAAGCTGCTGTGGCTGAGTCAAGAGAAATATATTGAGAAGATTCTGAAGAGATTCAGAATAGACAAAGCCAAAACAGTGAGCACCCCCCTAGCCGGACACATAAAGTTGAACCAGAAGCAATGTCCGAGATCTGATGAAGACAAAGATGAGATGATGAAGGTCTCGTACCAATCCGCTGTCGGAAGCTTGATGTATGCAATGGTTTGCACTAGACCCGACTTGGCGTATGCTGTTGGAATGGTAAGCCGGTATTTGTCAAACCCTGGCAAAGAGCACTGGGAAGCAGTGAAGTGGATCTTCAAGTACCTCCGAGGTACGACCGACTTATGTCTCCGATTTGGAGAAGGCAAAGCCGAGTTTCAAGGCTACTCGGATTCTGATTTAAGGGGAGACGCCGACTCGAGGAAGTCGACTACAGGATATTTGATGAGATTTGTCGGAGGAGCTGTCTCTTGGCAATCAATACTTCAGAAATGTGTTGCACTATTGACAACTGAGACTGAGTACATTGCCGCTACTGAGGCAAGCAAAGAGATGTTGTGGATGAAGAAGTTCCTCATGGAACTCGGCCATGATCAAGACAAGTACGAGCTGGGTTGTGACAATCAAAGCACAATCCATCTTGCGAAGAATTCAACTTATCACTCTCGCACTAAGCATATTGATGTGAGGTATCACTAGATCCGGGATGTGGTGGAAGGTGGAGAGCTCGAACTCGTCAAGGTGCACACTAACCAACATTGGTCCGACATGATGACAAAGCCGGTTCTAGCAAGAAAATTTGAAGACTGCTGTGAAGGAGCCGGGTTGATGCTGAAGCCGACGCATTGAAGTCGGAGGGGGAGATTTGTTGGGCTTCCTCCTTCAATGCTAAGCCCAAGCCCATTGAGGGGTTTCCTAAAAACCCTAACCTAGATCTCACCTCCTCTATATATTCATTAGTTGTGGGTGGAGCTAGGTTAAGTGAATGAGAGAGAAAAATTTGAGAGATAATTATTTGATTGTTTGAGCAAAGCTTTATGCTTTGCATTTGAGAGATATCTAGAGAGAGTTTGAGTGAAACATCTCTAGGGTAGTTTGATTATCACCATTGTTGGAGAGGTTGAGTTAACCACCACATTGGTGTATTTGATTCTTTGTAACCATTATTTTCTTAGTGGATTTTTGATCTGGACTAGGTCCCGTGGGTTTTTACTTCTTCATTGAAGAAGGTTTTCCCACGTTAAATCTGGTTGTGTTCTTCTTCTTCTCTCTCTCTCTCCTGTTTTGTGATTTTTCGTTTTGATTTTTTCCGCTGCGCTGCCTAACCTGGTGAAGTTCA